ACTCAGTCTTTTTAAAAAATTAACCTAATTCAATGTATTTGAACTTTCTTGGCGAGATGTATGATTCTTTTGGCTTGGAAAGATGGCTCATGGTAAAGAACACTTCTACTATTCAGAGGGCCCAAGTTTGTTTCCCTGCACGCACTTCAGCTGATTTCAACGACCTGTAACTCTAGTTTCAGGCAACCAAGGGCTTCTTATGTCCTCTTTGGGAACCCACACACACATGGGATACACACACAGACACAAGAATATATGTAAAATAAAAATAATAAATAAATCTTATTGTAATGTTTGATCACAAATATAATGTATATACTTAGGTACATTATAAAGACATGTATGTAGGTAGTATATATGGACATGGACACACTTATCTGAAAGAAGTCATGATCAAAAGGGCTCTTCCACAATACGTTGTACCTGTAGTAGAAAGAGATTTGTTTCCTCTTTGAAACAAATCTTTCTCTCTAAGAAAAGTTCCTTAGCTTTGAAAACGTTTATGGATTTTAAATCATTAGGTCAATTAAAAAAACATTTATTTGTGTTTTTGCACCATTTCTATGGTTTACCTGGTCATGCTAATACCGGTATCTTTTAAACTAGCTCTACTCTCTGCCACTGATGGGAAAAAAACTCTGAAGATCCTTAATTATGATGTGAGAGCTATTTCTTATCAATACTAGCTGACAGGGAGCCCAGCAGAGTTCTCTTTCTCCTCCCAAATATTAATCAGCATGTATATCCTCAGGTCTCTAGTTATTTTAGGGTGTCAGTGCTATCTGCATCCTGTCTCCCCCTACCCCACATCACCGATATTCACTGTGGACTTCTGCAGACTGCGTCCGAAAGCATGAATTTTATCTCTATTGGTTTCCTTCAACTATAAAAGATATTTATATCACTAGGCTCACCCTAGCGGCTTTCTACACTTGCTTGGTTACACTTGCTTCACCCACCAGGAGTTTTGTATATTGTTCCCAAAGGAGGCATCTCCCTTTCAAGTATAGGATAAAAGTTCAGTTCCAACCTTGCCTGGACTGATCTGGAATCCTTAATTCAGCTTCTCAAGAGGAGGAATCTTGCTCATTTCTTGGTGGTGCTAATATTCTGGATCCCTGGTAAGAATAAGGGAGCATAAAAAAGGAGATGGTCTAAGGAGATGAGTTTGGGACCCTACTGCCCATATGGGTTGTTTCTATATGATTCATATACAGGGACTGTGATGTCTAGAACTGTGAGCTTTAGAGGCTCCACAAAAACAGGGACTTGGGATCTTATAAAGATTGTCACGGAGAAAGAGTAGGATGACACAGAAAAATCCTACAATGTGGTTTATACATCTTTTTTCCTTATTTATAATATAATATTTTTAGTATGTAAATAAAAATCATCACAATAACTTGGTATGAATTACAATAATGTTAAATTATGAAGTGGATGATCATATATGCATCTGACCTTGAACTTCTTCCTCATTTATTTTGGATTCACTGAGTAGTTAAGATGACCCAATCTTCACTCTGTGTCCATCATCCCTGAAGAACCGACCTCCATCTCCTGCAGTTGAAGTCAGAGCCATCTACTTAGTAATGGAAACAGCACTTTTCTTCAGCTTGTACACAAGCCAGCTCCTGATTTATTTGATTTCAAAACGGTGACCTGGTGTTCCAGAAAGTTTCAGTAGCAGTGGGTCAGGACAGATTTCACAATGAATATCAGTAAAGCCGGACCCGAGGATGTTGGAGTTCATTATTGATTGCAAAGTACACCATTGGTTAACACGGTGCTACAAATAGGAACAAAAACTGCACTGTGAGGCTATTTAGATGTCCACAGGGCTGCTTCTATGAGGAGGATCAGAGTATATTCTCGGAGCCTGTGTGCGAGGATGAGGTTGGAGAACCGAAAAGAGTCAAGTTGTAGATGGAGTCTCTATGTCACAGGTCCCAAGACGCTCCCAAGATGA